ATTTAGTTGATTCTGTTGAGATATTTGAGTAAACCAATTAGGTATATAACCTCTAGAAGTTCTGTTTGTATGTAGATAAATATTGTTTTATAATAAAATATCAAGGTTGTTAGCTGTAGTAATTTGTTTAACAAACATAATTTTGTTGTTTTTAAGACTATTAGTAGTTAAAATAGGTGGATTTGATGGTAAAATATCATAAATAATATAAGTATTTTCTGAAATTTGTGAAGGATAGGAGGAAATTTGAAAAAAAATTAAGAGAAAAATATTATTTTGAGCTATTTGTGATAAATGAAAAAGTAATATAAAGTTTTGTGTTTTGCAATAATGATAAGTTAGTAAGTTTATTGTAAGCTTGGATGCCCAAATTTTTGTAAGCCAAGATTTAATATGTGATATGCCAATTTCTTTAAGTATTGATATTGTATTAAATATATATTTAGTATTTAAAACACACTTTTTGGATAATGTTATTTAGAGTTAACAAGTTAAAGACCAGTGAATTTGTAAATGTTATATTGTTAGTATTTTTTGCTAATACTAGCATTTTCTTGGCATGAATTGTAAATAAACAAGAAAGTTTGTTTTGAATATTGAAGTAGATTGGTGTAATTTAAAGTAAGTATTCTAAAGATAGTTGAAGGATAAGGTTAAAGAAAGAAGAAATTTGTGAAGATGTAATTTTTTTGTAATGAATAAGTGTAAGAAATTGTTCGATTTTATTTTGGATTTTGTCAAGTGTAGGTTTGAAAGAACCTTTATTATCATAAAAGATACCAAGGTATCTTATAATTTCATAAGGTTTTCTAAGAACAATTTGTTAATTATTTATTATAAAAATAGAAGTCGAGGAATTTAAAGATTTGGGTTTGATATAAAATAAATCTGATTTAGTAGGATTTATTTCAATATTGTTTAGTTTATAGAAAGTAGAAGTATCATTTAAAATATTTTGCACTATTTTTAAATTTTCACAGTGCCAGGTTGTATTATCCATAAATGCTAAAGATAGTATAATAATAAGAATAAAGGTGATATTTATTAAAATTTCAAGTAATGATTGGTTTGAAATCAGAAGTAAGTGATTTTGATTTTTTTGGTAAATGAAAAGTAGTATAGGATTATAAGAAATTTTCTATAACAAAGGTGAATAGGTTTCATCTATAAAGGAATCTTAAATTCAATTAAACTCTATTAAATGCTTGTTCTTGGTTTTAAAAATAAATGTTTTGTTTTTTATTTATTTTATAAGTTTGTAAATTAGAATATTTATTGTTTTTCTCATATCAATAAGAAGTCATGTTATCATTATTAAATTATATATTAATTTATTATAATATAATATACTTAAATAACCAATTACATTAAAGTCAACATACATTCTGTAAACATAATTAACAAATTTTGTGATTGACATAGAATAATTCAATGCTTAAACCTTATATATATTTAATTTACATTACCTTTTATATATTTGTCTTATATGTTTACTAAAAAATAGTGTATTATTGATATTCACAAAACCAAAAATCAAATAAATAAGCTTGTTAATTTATTATATTAAGAAAATTAAATAAAACCTTTAAAGATTTTTTTGATTGTAGTTTTTAACAAGCAATAAAGACATTATTAATGCTAATTTTGTAACTGTTAACAATATTCAAGATCTTGTTTTACTATCAATAAATGATAATTGAAAATTGTTTATAACAAATAATCCTATTTCCTAATTTATTTCAAGCCTATTCTTAATATACAGGTCCATAATAATAAAAAAATTCTTTATTAAATAAACATAATTACTGTATAAATTACCAGCAAAGATCACAAGTTTATTCATTTTTCATATTTTGTTTTGATTAGAAATTGATATGTTGAATAATTCATTAAATGATTATAATTTCTTCTCAACATTTATAATACAATATTCTGATTCTCATAATAAATAAAATAACTGTATGATACAGTTACACTAAAAATCTGGAACAAAGAGGGATGGAATCCTGTAGCCTAGTGGTTTAGGCACCCCTTTCTTCACAGACAAGGTCAATGATTCAATTCCAACTGAAGACAAAACTCTGTAATCTACAGAAGCATATAAATATATGTGAAACCCTGTAGTTTAAGTTTATGTAAATAGAAGAATGATATATAAGGAAGTTTCTGGAAAGAAGTTTCCTAATATGGAGAGTTGAACTCGATGTAAGAGAAATGATGAACATATCAAAAATAGAGAGAAGGCACACTAGCAAGTGATATAATAAACATAAAAGAAAACTATGAGAAAAGAATTGACTTACTGAAACTCAAACACCTCTGACATCAAAACCAGTTTAGTGGATATGAGATACACTAACATAGATAAAATCTAAGAGGGTAATCTTGATACCATACTTAGTAAGTTTGCATCAAGGATAAATTCAAAAGACTATAGATGCTCAGTAATATCCAATGAGATGGTATCTTGATATAAATAGTAATTAGATAACCCTAGCCTAGTATGTCCATGTGATAATGAAAGGTTATAATGTATAGGATTGAAAATCAGAAAGTTTAAATAAGAGATTCACAGGTGGATCTCAGGTATGATAGCTAGTGGGTAACCCTTGAGCAGAACCCTTAATTAGATAATGACTAAAGTTATATGTGTGACTAGTTATACTTTCATTGATAAACTTTATATTAATTAATAATTTGATATTACTCAATAAAAGACAGACAGGCAAGATTGCTGCTTATAATACAAAAAAAAAAAAAAAGCAACCTGGAACAAAAGCAAATATAGTAGTTAACAGATAGTTCAAATAATACACAAACGAGAACTGATCTAGCATTTCATTAATATATTGTGAAACATTTAACATACAGTATAGGCAATTGATTCGCATTAGCTAATCAAACAAAAGTTTACAAAGCATTTATCATTTAATTAACTCAATAAAAATCCTATGAAAAAACCTGAAAATGGTAAATATCAGGCATATAGAAAAATTAATTTGTATCGGGTTAACAATTTTTGAGTCTAAATTCTTGCTTTTACTATCGTTACTTATCGTAACTACGAATAACTTACGTTTGCATTTTTTTGTATTCAAATTATACTCTCTAATCACACATGTGTATATCTGTTGATCTGTATGCGTAATGAATTCATGTGGAAAAATAAGGCGTGTGATGAATCCATGTGTGAAAAATAACCAAAATTTGATTAATGAATCATGCGGACCAATCAAACTTAAGATTTTGCGGACGGATCCAACTTAAAACGCCGTATATCCATACGCTGTGATTTCATCACTCCGTTCCTGGTGTAGAATTTTTAGAATTCGTACCACATCCGAAACCGCAGTAATTTCGGGGGGGGGGGTAATTTTCACTTGTAATTTTAAAAGCGCAGTAATAAACCAACAAGGTCTCCTGCAACATTGAATAAGTGAGAAGCCTGATGATAGTTTAACAAGAGAAATTACCTAATCACTTAAATGTCTTTTTGATGTTACGCGATGAATTCAATTGTAAGGCGCTATGAATAGTGGTTTCTATATTTTCACGCCCATACTGACTTCAGAATTTTGTGCGTGAAAAATTTGAACCCTTTAGTTTATACATAGAAAAATCAAAAATTTACGTAAAGTCTAACATTTAACGTACGTATTCCAAAGTTTAGGATACAGTACATAAACCTGCTTATGTTAAAAAAAAAAATCATGATTATATTTAATCAAAAAAATTTTATCTAAGCAGATTTATATAATGCATGCACAGCAGTGCATCCCCTAATTAGCCAATTAAAATGCAAAATTACTGTATTACGTTACATTAAATTAAAAAAAAACCAACCCTAAAATCCGATTGGCTAGGGATGCGCAAAAAACATTTTCCCTAAATTAAAGATAAATCATGATGTCTAGGCATTAAATTGTTTATATAAATGAATGTCATTTATATGAGTAGCATAGTCTTTTATGATAAATTTGGATTGTATCAATTTCCCGATGGTCATTTCTCCACACAGCACGGCATGAATATTTACTAAAATGTAGCTGCAACTCTGTGTGATATAGGTTAGATGGCTTGTCGGGGAAATGTCCGTCGGGGAATTGAGTGGGATCATAACCTTATATAGAGATAAAGTTTCTACCTGGTACGTCAGTATGTGGAACATGTAATATTTATTGACAAATCGATTAAAGTTGATAATCAGTTTAAAAACCATCTGGTTTTAGGCAACATTCTGATCGAAGAGTAGTATCCCGGTTCAGCAAAATGGATTGATCATATAAAAAGACGGAAACAGATAATTGTTTCTCCAATGCAGTATCGATATGGTTTAAAATAAGGTTCAGATAACAAATAATCGATAATTTAAGCATAATGATAATTATTTATTATTATGCGCAGTCACAATTATCATCGTGCAGATGTTCTTTTTTTTTTATGTATGCAGCATATAAATAGCAAACTCACGGATGAGCCTGCGCAGCATTTTACTGTGCGTTGAATTTTTAGAAGCTGCTTGAATGATCTTCAATTTAGTGTTTTGAAAACAAATACCCGAATGTAGTTAGTAAAATCTTTTTTTTTTTTTTTAATAAGAGCATAAGCCAATAAATACAATTATTAATTTAAGTAATTCTTATATTTTGGGCGCTAGTATTTTTAACGTTTCACTAAAATTTTAGATCTATTAATATATAGTGCTTGCAGGCTGCGCAACCTGCGCAGTAGATTCAAAAATCCCATCCCTGGACACATGTAAATTAAAATATCATAAAATCCATATATCACTGTATTGTGTTGTAAGACTACGAATATGTACATCTGTGCGTACGGAGGTACATTAAATCCGTATCGGTAAAACAGATAACGTTTGCTCAAATTTTTCATCAAATTTTAAAAAATTTAATATAAAACAGAGAAAAAAGTTTGATTCTCAAAAAAAATAAAGCATTACACTATATCCAATTCTTTTAACCACTTCTTTTGATATCTCTAAAATGTATTTCTACTTAGCTGCAATTGTTGCAATTATTAGTTACTACTTATACAAGTTTTATATTTATCCTTTATATTTGTCTCCATTGCGTAAAATTCCTGGTCCACCTGTTGATAATTTAATTCTTGGAAATTTTGCTTCTCCTCCTTTTTTAAATAAAGAGCTAGGTGAAGCTTTTGTTCATTTAGTGAAACAATATGGTGGGATTGTTAGGTTTCATGGCTTATTGAATGAACAAAATTTAATAATTTCCGATCAAAAACTTATTCAACAAGTACTATTGAGTCGTTCATATGATTATCCAAAGTTCTTCCTAAACAAAGCTATAGTTAAGGAACTTTTCGGTGAAGGTATTGTAATTGCTGAAGGTGATTCTCATAAACGACAAAGAAATGTGATGACTCCTTCATTTGCTTTTGCCAATGTTAAGGTATCTTTTACTATTATTAATAATACGATCTGTTAAAAATTCTATTTTGTATAATTATATCTGATGATCATTTTTAACTTTTCAAATCTTAAGGAAATGGCTCCAAAATTCGTTCAAGCTGGCCACAAATTAAAAGAGATTTGGATAAAACAAATTGGTGATAAGGAAGAGGAAAGAATTACAATCACAGATTTAATTCCAAAGATAACTTTAGATATTATTGGTCTTGTTGGTAAGCATTAATCTATATATTTTTAAATGTTAAATTTCATGTATCAATGACGTTTCTAATCATATTTATATTATTTTTAATGTAAATAGGGTTTAATTACGAATTTAATTCTACTTCTTCAGGATCTGAATTAGCTCAAGCATTCAAATCAATAGTCAGTCGGAATTATCCTCCTTTATACATAGCTCTTCTTAAGTTCTTTCCGTTTATCAGATTATTACCAACCCCATCAAACAACAAATATTTTAACTCTATTAAAATTATCGCTAATATTTCTGAGAAACTAGTTGTTGAACAAAACAATAGTCTTGTTCAAGGAACAGACTTTTTGTCATTGATAATAAAGGCAAATGATAATTTGCCAGTTAATGATCAATTAACGCATAAAGAATTAATTAGTCAGGTATGAATTTATTTATTATGATATATTATTTATATAATTTGTTAAATTTTTATTTGAAATTTATATATTAGAATATGTATATTAAAATATATAAAATTTATAATTTTATTAAATTTATTCAAAATATAAATATATAAAATTGTAGGTCATGACATTACTCTTAGCTGGACATGAGACCACTAGTAATGCACTATCTTGGGCACTATATTTTCTCGCAAAACATCCTGATGCTCAGGATCGTCTTCGTAAAGAAGTGTCTGAAGTATTAACTAATCGTGATTATTTTCCGACCGTTGATGAAATTGAACGTTTGAAATATTTAGAATGCGTCATTAAAGAAACTTTAAGAGTTATTCCACCTGGTATAGTTTTAATATCTCTTTATGTTTTGAATTATTCAATTTATTTATCATTATTTTGTTCTCATCTTTTTTGTTCATTAAAGTGTCTGCACTTCTTCGTCATACTTCAAAGGATGAAATCATGAATGGTTACCTTGTTACAAAGGTATTTTCCCAAAATATCCTATGTTTCGATTTATTTGGATATTAAAATAATATATAACCTTAAAACTTTTAGAATACTCCATTATGGATTCCTGTCTACACAATACATCGTGATCCCTTAATTTGGGGTGATGATGCTGAAGATTTTAACCCATCCCGATGGCTTGATCCGGAAGTAAAATCAAAAATAACACATACTAATTTCTTACCTTTTGGTGCTGGTCCAAAAAATTGTTTAGGAATGAAAATGGCTTATTTGGAATTTAAATCTCTTTTATCTGTGATTATTAGAAATTTTGAGTTTAAATTAGTTGAAGGTTTTACTTTTAAAACGAAACTTGGTGCTTTATCTAAACCTTCTCCTGGCATTGATTTATGGATGTCAAATGTGAAGTATTAATTTTAAAATTTAATAATTTGAACTATATTTAAAGCTGATTTATTTAACAATAAAGCTTTAAAATTTTAAAGTATCTTAGTTACGTGTCTATTAATCGTTAGTGTAAATATATAAATAATTAATTGGGAATGAACTTTAATCTTAATATCTTTACTGTTTTATTCAACATGGAAAATCTCTGTGTTTGTACCTTGGTCACTATATCAAGATCGCAGGGTACAAATCATGCCCTAGGTACTATGTGTATAAGCAGAGATTTCATTTCCGCTTATACACAACTACCCAGGATATAACTATTACTTAGTCGCGAGTTGTCACATTGATGCGACTAATTAATCAAAACATAGGTACATTTGTAGATAAGATTCTAGCATCACTAGTCTAAAAGATTTTGAAAATTTTGCTTCCCAATTTGGATGTTTTGATGATTTATGAGTACATAACGTATGAAAGTTTTCATCGTTCTCTTTTTTCTTTATAATATTTTTATATAAAAAAAAAGCAGCCCTGATATTAACTAGGCTGTTGCTGATAAAATGTAATTTAAATTTTGATTTTTTTTTATAATTAATCCTAGGCAACTTTTTCTTATCTAAAAGCTCTCTTCACCCTTTTTCATATCATAGAACCTTTTTGACAATTATAAAATCAAATAAAAACCTATAAGCCTATTGTATGAGAGAGAACAATGAGGTTTCATTAATTTACACATTATTTATACAGTTTAAAGTACCTTTTCTAAAAATAAAACTAAAGATAATAAAGTGAAAAAATGTAATATGAGGTTTTATTAGGGCTATAGGATTCCATTATCATGTTCAGAGAAGTTAGCATAGCAATGACTTCCCGAAAACAGATAAATCAAGCTACGTATTACAATGCCAACTTCTCTAAATATGAAGTAGTGAAGTCTTATAACTCTAATAAAGCTTACAGTATACCTATTTTTTCTTTATGTCTTTAGTTTTATTTTTTCAAAGAAGTACTTTAAACTGTAAAATTAAATATGAATTATTAGTCAATCACACAAATTCCCGAGTTTATAGTATTTACTAGCACTAAACCAATCGACCTAAACTATATTATCACCTAACCCTAAAACTAACTCTAACTTAAGCCGAGAACTTAGCCATGTGATAAGATAGTCGTGAATTTCTCTTGAATTTTGGATTAACCTGATTCAATACAATATAACTCATATTAAACTTTGATGCTTAAACAGGTATAAATTTTATATAAACTTCACGGAATCCAGTTCAAATTTGTGCTAATATATTTCATCTACCCTGTTTCTGAGATAATTGCTTCTAAATATAAAAAATCATCTTAGTATTTATTCAATTATTCAAGCTATACTAAACTCGCATAACCAGTCTATTATATTTTATATCTATTACAACTATTACTCCTATTATAGTTATTATATCTATTACAATTATTTTACCAATTACAACCATTGTACCTATTATGGAAAAAGTTACACCTCCAGGTTGCAACCTTACACCTTGCCAACCTATTATGGCAGGCAAATTTAAATTAAATCACAACCGTCCATTAAGTGAAAATTATTCCCGTATTTTCAAATTTCTATTTTTGGGGTCCACTAAAGCAGTGTAAATTCAATATAAGTATCTATATACTGCATAATTGTGCTCTTGATATCCATATAAAACACTTACTCAAAAACTTACCTTTTTACCAGCGACCCCTATTTTTGGAATGAAAAAATTAAAAAGATAATTCTGGCTAGAAATTATGTAATAATTATGTATTACGGGCCCAGATTTTGCAGATCACGAAAAAACAATTAGAAGAAAGCAGGTAGTATATGCGTTGCATTAACTTTTACTTAATATGAACTCTGTATGATCAAAGATTATAATCCTTTTTTAAACAACTACGGGGTCATCGTGATTCAAATTCCAGTTTTGAGCAATAAAACTGGCAACGTATATATAATTGGTATGATTTCAGCTGTACACGAGCAATTTGTTGCCCGGCTTCAAGGTTCCGAACAGTAGAGTCGTTGATGACCCTCCCATAGAAGTTTCTGAACAACCTCGTAAGAGAATCTATTCGCGTTATTGAATTTCAATTCTCTTATAGTCTTTTCATGTAGTTCACCACAATCCTGATAGAAGTAGAGTTCAAATAGTTCCTGATGTTGCTGTATATCCAGATACAGCATTTGTTTCAAGGGTTGCTTTTTCCGCCGTAATACCCCCTCCTCCCGGTGATGTAAATAGAGATGGTTTCATGCGTGCGCATTCATGCGCATGACTCCGTTTAATGTGCATTTTATTTTATCAAGATTTCTCTCCTCTCGATCGTTTTTTCTTTTTTGCATTTTTTTTTTATTATGCGATATCATGCACATGAAACATTTCGTGCGCATGTTATTATAATTGCGTATTTTTCCCATCACTAGATGTAAATGTAGGTTAAGTTTTTTGTTTTATTGTCCGGGGCGTGGCGGAGGATTTACATTTTCAGGTATAGTGGTATCACATAATTGGAGATCTTAGAAAAATTTTGTCTGTCTGTCGTAAAACATTCATTTTTGATACACCTAAACATACCCTAAAATTTTACTAACCTTTACTATAATAACGTGCGATCTTATTAGTTAGTTTTAAGGTATGTTGAGATGTATCAAAAAAGTAGGCACAGGAGTATCAAAAATGAATGTTTTGCCTGTCTGTAATACATCAAACTTGGCACATTTTCAAACAAAAATTGCCATAGGTTAAGTATTTTGTGAGCCACTATTTCCCATCCCACCTGGATATGCAGCAACAATCCCTCCTGTTATTTTTGTCCACAATTTTACTATTGACTTATACTGGCTACAACGATTAGCTTTAAAAACCGAAATGTGAATGAAATTAATTTGAAAATTTAAAAACCAAATTTCATTATATGATAGTCAATATACAATATATGTTATCAATTTGATGAATTCGTGCTATATTTAATTGCTTGGTAATGAGAATATCAGAAACTATGCCGATAATGAGAACGTTAAACTGACAATAAGGAAGATGATGATAATGAATATTGTAATATGTATAATTTTATAAAAGATAGTTTTAATAAAAATTTGAAATTTTCTGATTACGGTGCTTGTTATTATTATGATTTAGTAGCAATGCATATTGAAAATAAATGATTCATACATTTTGCCAGTTAGCATAAATAAGTGTTCTAAAATTTTGCATCATCGAATTGTAAAAATTAAGCAAATATCTTAAGAACTGCATATACTGAATGTTTTTAAACTCTTGAATAAAAATATCTCAATAATCATTTTACCAAATTCTAAAGAAATATATATTTGAGTTATACTAATTTATAGAATTTAAATAAAAAAATTTGGTTAGAAAATCAAGATATCTTTACTAAAATTTTAGTGCAGCTTTTATTATTTTGGTTTTTTTTCTTTTAGTAAAAATACTTTAATAATTACCTAACTAAACTCAATAAAATTTTTGATTGAATTTATAAAAATATAAAATCCAATAAAAGCTCTTTTTTTCCTTAAGCAATCACACTAGTACTTTATTAAGATTCTTGAAACTACTTTTGCAATTATATAGAAATAAGTCTAGCATCACTTTAATTACTCTAATGGTATCTAAGTGTAACCTGTCACACTACTCTAACAGGTTCCTTTTTCTATAACAAGCCTTAACATTGCCTTTCTAGTTTTTCTTTAATTTAATTTTTTTTCTTTTGTTTGTTTTTTTTTGTTTTTTATTGATTTGTTTTTTTTTTGCTCAGGTTTTTTTCTTTTATATTTTTCTTTCTATCTTGTCTGTTAATTTTTTTTTCTTACTCATTAGTTTTTTCATATTATATTCTTCAAACTTATTTATAAAAAATATCACAAATTGTTCTTGCTATTGTATTTTACAAACTGTTGTCTTGACTTTGTACTTAAAGACTATGCTAACTAGTTGTTTCTTTAAAATTAGGTCTTTAATTAATATTTTCTTATTTCTATTCTTCTAATTCTATTTTTCTAAAGAATGTTGTATGTAATACATATAAAAGGATTTAGATTTTTTTCTTTTTTTAGTTCTTTTTATATTATTTCTATAATTATTTTTGAATTATTTTTTAAAGATTTATTTGTTTCTTAAATAATGTTAAATATGCTTGTATTTTTTTTTACTTGTCTTAATATACTTGATATTTTGTTATTGTGTATATATCTGGTTTTTTTCTATTAAGTTCTTCTAAGATTAAAAGTTTATTTATTTATATTTTATAAATACACTTCTTTTTATATTATTTTTTTTTGTTATATATTGTATTTTTTTTAGTTGTCTTTAGTTTTTTTAAAAAATATATCTAATTATAAATTATAACTTTTGTTTCTAGTTCTAAGTTTCTAATTGTTCTTGTTTTTTTGCTTACTTCTAATCTAATATTTATTATTAGTTTTTATAGAAGTCTTGCTAGTATATTAGTTTTTTTGCAAATTTATTAATATATTCATATTTTAAATTAAAAGTATAAAATTTAAATATGAACTTGTATATACAACTGAGTTATTTTCATACTTATATAATAACTATCTTATTACATAATATCTGATATAATAATTTAATACTAATGAGTAAATAAAAAAAATACAGATAATTATATAAGATTTGCACAATAAGCTTTGTTATTTTATTTATCTCTACTGTGATTTTTTATTTTAACTAATTTTTCTGTATATTTTTTATCTTAATAAAGTCTATAATCTTTATTATCTATATTGTATTTTTTTCTTAAAAATCTTATTTCTATCTGTTTGTTCTAAATCTTTACTAATATTTTTTTATTATTATATTATAGTTTATACATATTTCTATTTGTTTCTCTTTTAGTATTATTAAAATTTTGCCTATATAGCTATTAACTTAGCTATTGTTTATATTAATTATTTTTTTAAACTTAGTGTTATTTTTTTTTTTAATTAATTCTAATTTTACTTAATTGAATTTATTTTATACTTATATTTCTACTTAGTGCCTTTTTCAAGTTTTTATATTTACTACACTATTTGTATATATTATATATATTTTTTGTTTTTTATTATATTTTTTCTTAAAGTTTTTATTATTTTTTAACTAATACTTTCTTTTAGTTGTTATTATTTACCTATTTTTACTTCTAATTCTTTTATTATTACAAGTTTTTTAAGCTTTTACTTTTTATTTTTTAACTCTTTTGGCATTATCTTTTCTATTAGTTGGTTAATTGCTATTTTGATTTTATTACTATTTTTCTTTATTAACATATTTAGATTTATATTAATTTTGTTATTTATTCTTATTTATTAATAGTAGCTTTTTTTATATGTTTTTTTTTCTTATATAACTATTATATTTATTAATTTTAGTTACTAATTTAAATTTTTTTTCTTAAGTAGTTATGTTAGTATTTTATTAAAATTTTGAAATTATATTTATAATTATATAAATATTTCTAATAACTGAGTTTAGAATTACCTAATTACTTTAATAATATCTAAATACAATCTGTTATATTACTTTAACCAGAAGTAAATTACTTGTTTAACTATTTAAACTTTATAATAAAAAGGTTTTTTTTTTTATAACAAGCCTTAACATTGTCTTTTAGTTTTTTTTCTAATCTGTTTTTTTTTTTCTTTTGCTTTCTTTTTTATTTTTTTATTTTTTACTAATTTGTTTATTTTTTATCTAGTTTCTTTTTTTTATTTTTGTTTTTCTGTTTATAAAATATATTTTAAATTATTCTTATTATTATATTTATAAACTATTGTCTTAATTTTATATATATATATTTTTTATTTTTTTTTTATTATTAATGGTAAGGCTATGCTTCTATCTTTATTGAATATCCAATTAAGATTTTATATAAAGTACAAGTCTACTTTTAAAATATTATAGAAAGAATAGAAGCTCAGACTAATTTATCTGTGATCTAAACCAACCAGAGTGGCTAAAGCTCATCTAGATTTGAGCGTTAGTAATAATGTATAAGGGATTGGTTTGATATTTAATCTATTGGATATACCAGAAGTTAATTTTGAAACTAATCAAATTAGAAGAAAGAATGTGTAATACAGAAGAAATAGAAGCTAATAATGAATTATAATTAGAAAGTTGGGCTATAGATCTTGAAATACAGTAAAAAATCCAAATTTGTGATAAATTTGTTGATTAATATAAAATAAAAACTTTATAGAAAGTGTAGTAGCTACTTTTTTAGAAGACAAATTTGCAATAGTGTTGATGAGTTCATTTGGTATTAAGCCTGTTAGAATTGAGAAAATTAATAGTATATCAGATCTATTATGAATAGACAAGCTGTAAAATAGTTTAATTTGGTAGTATAAGTTGGTTATAGTATTAGGTGTAGTATTGTGTATATTTGAGTTAAGAATATGTTGTAATAAGATATCAATAAGACTAAGTAATAGTTGGTTAGATGGACAAGTTGTTCAGTGAAGATGTGAACTAATTTGGTAGCATTAATGACAAATAGGTGAATATGAAGAATAGTATTTATATAGAATATGTAGAGTAGAAAGTTAATCTGATAGGATTTTAATTCTAAAAGATTTAAGAGTAGAAGACTGAAAGCTGTAAGAAAAGTTTAAAATTTTTTGATTATTGTTAATATAAAGCTAGGTGGCTTCCCAGTTAACTTGGTTAAGAATTTTGTGCCATTTTTGAAAATAGTTTTGTGTTATCTAAAGTGCATATATATGTGTATAACATATTGTATAGATGTTATGATAAGTAGATAACTCTAAAAAAAAATTCTTAAAGATTAGAATGTAAGCTAAGTTGTAAGTGTTATAAGATGTAAAAATAAGGTATGGCAGGTTGTAATAGTTACATACTTGTTTGTTAGCAAGATTGTTATATTTGTTATCTTGATGAGCAGTAACTTTGTAAAAAATAATATAAATATTATATGATTTAATAAAATTGATAAGTGTGTTCTATAGTGAGAAATATGCTATATAAATATATGATATAATTGTTGTTGAGTTTAAAAGACTGTTGTATTTGGAAATTACAGATTGTGAGTTTGTATATATGTTTATAGTACAGTTTCTAGGAGCAGTAATAAGAGCTAATAAAATGACAATAAGCTCTGACTTGAATAAGCATAGCCAATATTTAGTTTGAGCTTAGAAGATATGAAGTATAGAATTATTTCAAACTTGAGCCTATCCAATACTCATTGAGCATTGTGGAGTACCCAAGTTTATGACTGAACCATCTGTATAAAAGTGAAATTCTGATAAGTTGGAGTTATAATTAGTAATTTGCTGAAGATTATTTGTAAGTGAACTGTGTTCAAAGATATTTGAAATTGAGTATGTTATAATAGCAATATTAGAATGATTTGGGGTTTAAATAGGATGTCTAATTCCAATAGAATATATAAGGTCAGGATGGTTAACATTAAAGTTAAGAGTTTTGTTGTATGTATTAACTCGATCATAAAATTTAGTTAAGACATTAATAGAAATAATAATTGTATATTTGTTAGCTATTGTATAAGAATTAAGATAACAGTCTAAACATATATTTAATTGAATAGGTGAAAGAAGATAGAGATGAGTAAATTGTGATTCAATATAACATTGCTAGTGAGTTATAAAAACAGTTCTAGATGGTAAAGACTGTCTTCTAGCTTTGCTAATAATAATTTAATTGTCAAAAACTGTGATAAGCCATGGTTTTTTTTATAAAAAAAAATGTTCAGTTGTATAACTATAATAATTTGTGTTAGATAAATGTAAATTTTGATAAAGAGTACAATTATAAGAGTAACTTGTAACTTAATCCTCCAAATAGATAACCAGAGTGGTTCTTTGCCTTTAGGAATTTTGTTTATACATAGAAAAATATGTTTTTAGTCTAGAAGATATAAGTTATCAAATGTGATAAGTTGATCTAAATACAAAATGTCATAATGTTTAAGTTGTTCTTGAATGTTATATATTTAGAATGTGAGGAAAGTAGTGATTCAAGTGAGATAGAGTCCTCTTGAATAGTACATAGAATATTATATAGTGGATTAGATGTAAACATCACACCAAGATGTTTAAAGAGCTGAATAATTTTGAAATTAACTATGTATTTGTTGAAACCATCAATAATAGGATTATCATATATTAGAATACTAATAGGTGACCATAAATTATTTTGAAGTTGTTAAAGTCTAATGTGGTACTTATTCCCAAAAGGTCAGATGAATTGAGTCTTTTGGTAAAGTTTGTAATATGGTGCTGTAATTGAATGTCCTATATATTATGAATGTTATAATATTGAGGATGAAGTAGTGTATTTGTAGGAATTGTGTGATTGAGTTTAGCCTTATTTTTAACAAATCCAATATGGCTTGTAAGAATTTTGTTGCATGTATTTTGACTAAGAACAATGTTGTAAAGACAATACTCAATTGTAGGGATAATAATAGTATTAATTATGTATCATGCATGTGTATTAGTAATTTGTTTAGTGCTTTCAATTTTAATAAGATGTAATAACTTAGCAGTAATAAGTTTAGTTTATTTAATTTGTTTGTTATTAAGTGTGAATCAGCATCCAAAAAATTTAAATAGTTTATTTGATGAATGAAGGTTTAGAGAATAATTATTATATAATAGAAATATAGTCAGTTGAGATATTATTAGTTGTTAATAAAGACATGAAAGGGTTAATTTAAATATTAGCCATGTTGAAGAAAGATTCAGCTGTTGATAGAATTTGTAATAATTCTTGTTGTGAAGATGTGACCCATAAAGTGTCATTTATATAAGCAAGAACTGAACAGTGTGAGTTGGACTTGTTGTATATTTTGTGTTTAAGGTTAGTAGGCCAGAAGACTTGTAAAGTATAATCTTTAAAATTGTTATAAATATATATAATGAGTAGGTCATAATAAATCCTCCACAAGAGTGAAGTAATAGTTTCACCTTGATAAATTCCATTAAGTACTGAATATGATAAGATAAGACCAAGATTTGTAATAGCTTAGTTATATCAATTAGTAAGTAAGTTGATAATAGCATTAATGATAGAGTTAGGTAAGACAAGGCATTGGAAAGACTTTTAAAGTAAAGTTATATTAACAAAATTATATGCTTTGGTCATATCCTGAAACATAAGCTATATTGGTTTTTGGTTATATGATGCATCCTTAATAAGGTTATTAAATATATAAATAGGTATAAATATGCTGTTATTAGATAAAGCTATATAATTATATAGTGATAGAATGGGAAGTTGTAAGAATACAGTACTAATTCTAGTAGTAATAATTTTTGTATACACTTTTTAGATATATTTAATGAGACTTATAGGGCAAGCAAGATTTAAGTTATTATTAATATATTACATTTAGAAATAGGATATATTCTGTTGTGTTTCTATTGTTTAGGAATCTGACTTGAAGTAAAGCAACAATTGAGTAAGGCAGTAATAGCTTTAATACAGGTAATACCTGCATGTTTAAGCATTTTATAGCTAATGCTTGTAGGTTTATAGGCTTTTTTATTTGGAGGTTTTGATATAGTTTGAAAAACTTCTTCTTTAGTAATAAAGAATTGTATCATTAAGTGTTAATATGTGATTAAAGTTAATATTCTGTATACCAAAAGTTATCAAACAGATTTTGATTAATTGGTCAATGTGCTGTTCAGTTAAAAAAGTTGATTGTACATGTTGTTTGATAAGGTTTGATTCTGTAATAAGTTGGTCAGGAAGTTTGATATTAGAAAAATGAATTGAAGGTTTGTAACAATTAAGAATACAATGCAAATCACCTAACTCTTCCTGTAGATTACTAAAACCAACTCTTCTCTAACAAATAATTCAACTTTTCTCAATATTTTACTAAACTAACAGCTCTTAAACTTCTAATTAAATTTTTTTTTACAACTTTCTGTCCTAAAAATAATATACATCTATTTATACTTAATTTCTTGATACAACAAACTTTTATATTTTAATAAAATTATCTTTATTTATATTCTTTTTAAATTTCTTCAACTTATACTTAATTAAACCTCTTTATTCCTAAGTAAACTAAGTATACTAAACTTTCTGCTCTCAACTATACTAATTTTATCAAATTCTAATTATTATATTATGTACCAACTAACATTTTCTAAAAAAACACAATTCCTTAATTTCCATTGAATATTATTAAGCAAACCTATTCTTTCTCATTAAACAAAAATATTCAGCTCATTGAGACGATCATTTAAACATAAATTTCATCTTTAACGGACCAAAACTCATTAAGTTATCGATATTTTTTCTTAAACTTCTATCCAAACTCCTTTCTGAAATTCTATTGGTCAATTTCGGAAAATTTACGGGGTGCCCCGGAAATTTCACTTTTTACCAATCTTGAAAATATCCAAATACCCAACATTTCTTCAAATTCTCTCAAAGGAACCTGGAAAATTTACTGTCAATCTTAAAAAACTCAATTTTCTTGTCCAATTTCTATCCTTTTCACCTGCTTTTTTTTGTTTTGTTGTCAGATTGTTGTTCTTAAGGTCTTGGTATATATCCTTTTTTTTATACTTATAGCTTCATTAACTTTTTGCACTGTCAATGCAGGTTTTTCTTGGATGTTAGTAATTTCTTGTACTTTATTTTGAGACTCAAAACAACCTTGTTTTCTTGACAAATTATTCATTTGTTTTAGTCTTTTTATAAGTCGTGGCATTGTAAACTAACATTTGTATTGCAGCACATGACTTATATATATAGTTTTAGGTAAACACAGTCTAGTGTGTTTATAAAACATTATTTGTATAATTTACTTACATAACATATCACATAGCATATATAAAAAAAGTTTATATAAAGTTAATTAATTATTTCTCATAACTGGTTGGGTTAGCTTTTTATTAAGTTTTATAAAAGGTCATTTTAAAATTTTTATAAGAAGCAATTAATTTCATGTAGTTTAATAAAACCTTATTAAGGCTAAGTATAGAATCATTTCTTTTATTTGAGTATAATTTTTATTTTGCTTTTGTCTTTTCAAAAATTGTCATACTAATTTATATACTTTTACTATATAAGAATATTTAGAAAATGCACTAAAGTTTTTTATGAATGATTTGAGTTATTAATCTATTTATGCAACTATTATGTAGTACTTATTAGATTCTTTCTAATGGTTTATTAAAATTTATTACTGTATTTAATGAATAGCATTTAAGTACAATTAGAATTACAGCATATGGTGTCCTACTTCCTATTAGTAGGGATTTAAAAAAAATAATAATAATGCAATTAGCTATAAAATTACACTTAATACAATATGAAATTTAAATAAAATTTATTTCAAATTTGTTATATGCAATGATTTATTTAGTAATTATAAAAGTTGTATATATGATATTTGAACTATACATGTATATTATGTACTATTATAATGTATAAAACTTAAAAATAATGAGAAATTAGATGATTCTAGTAGATTTTTTTTTAGAATACTGCTTATATCTTAAACAAACACCTTCTGTTAGCCAAAAGTTACGCTCTTTAAGCACTTTCT